ATGAAATATCCCAGGGGCCTACCCTAAACCCTAAACCCTAAACCCTACCCAGCAAAGGCAACTAAAAAGGTTCCAAGTCCTCAGGGCAAGCGAGAGACCGGCCTCTGCCTTGATCTTCACCCACGCCTCAGGGTTGGGGTTTAGGTTATCATTAGGGTTTAGGGTTTAGGGGTTTAGGGTTTAGGGTTTGCTATGTTTTTGCTATGTTTTACGCATAGGGCCTCACTTCCGAATTTTTGCAGGACCAAGGCTTCAATGATTTCCTGGATCCAGCCATACATCGGCCGTGAGTCGAGGCTTGGCCCAGCTGCTGGACTTGTGGCCAAGGCTACTTTAGACTACCAAAGGTCCTTGTGCAGAAAGGCCAGGAAGTGTTCCGGCTCGCCATAAGCGACTGTCAACCCTAAACCCCAAACCTTCAGCGCTAAACCTTAACCCCCGAACCAAGGACTGTCAAGATCGTGGGGGTTCTGCGGTCGACCGAAAGAAGGACTTTTCACAAGTAGGAATGAACCCAATACTGCAATTGCAAAAATCCGCAGTATAGAGCTTTAAAGTCTAGAGTATAACCATCTATTTTGATACCCTTACAGAGGGATTCTGACCGTACTAATTCAGGCTGTTAGAGTAGTCAAGTTGAGGTATCCTCCCGAAAGCTAGGATCTGACTTATTATAGCCCCCCAACCGCCAATGAAAAACCACCCCTGCAATCTTGCTGGGGCCCTTTCCTAGGTTCCCCAGTAAACCCCAAATAAGGGTATCCTTTTTCCTGCTGTTCTGTTTTAATGAGGAGACCCCCAAACAAAAAGGGCAAAAGGGTACTACTGGGGTACCTAGTGTCTAGGCTTACATGTTGGGAGGAGACGCTGCTGTGATTTGCGAACGTCTCGAAGCCGAGGTCCCCTAGGCACTGCTTGGATGTATAGGGGCACAGGATGATGATGAGGGGGGGGGCGTCTTTAATGATGAAAGAGGCATTTGGGATAGGTACCCGCATCTCACACTTTCTCAACTGCCGAGGTTAAGAGCGATGGAGGTCACACACATTTTGATGCACTTGCTTGTCCTGCACGAAGCGCCAACATACGAGTTTCTCAAAATTGCACTTCTAGTTCCCTTCAGAAATGGTAGTTTCCCAAAATAAGGAGACCCCAATATAGACCCCAAAATACTATAGCCCTTATTATTGGTACCCCTAATTTTGGGAAACCCCCAAATGGGACCATCACGATCCCTTGAGACCCCCACATACCCCCTTTTGATCCTCAAGGCTTACGATTTTGAGAAACCCTTCATGGGTCTGTGCCAAATCACGGAAGCTACGTTAAAGTCCTAAATAGTAGTTTCCATTTTCTTTTCAATTATCCCTATATACCCGTATACTAACCTATTATCTTATAGCCCTATATTAAACCCTTATATTCCCATATTCCCAGTTTGCAAATCGTGGTGCCAGGGCTTCTGGGATCACACTGGGCTCTCAGCTTGGCACGTACCCCATTCCCCCAGATATCAAAAGACAAACAGTTCCTACAGGAGACCAACTCTATAGTGGAGTGTAGGCCTTAAATGAGGGGGAAGAACTACTGATACCTGAAAATGCGTTAGCTGGCAGCGCTGGACGCCAGCACGCATGTATGTACAGCAAGGTGGCCACCATCAATTGACCACCCTTGCGTTTGGATATGTATTCTAAACTTGGACTGTGGCTGGAGCGTCTGCTTGCAAGGGCAGTGTAGCACCTGTAGGCTGTGGACAAACATGCTCAGCCCAAACACAACCACCAGCAACTGCTGAGTCAACAATACGCCCTTGCCGTGGACCCCCAAGACACGAAGTCCCAGTGCCAACACAGTCTAAAGCTACCTCGAGCTGAGTGGGGAATGATGGAATGCATCTCCACAGTAATCCCAACATAACGGCATCTAATGCTCTCTGCAACTTCCCTGTCTTGGCAAGTTCTAATAATCCGTAACCCTGTGTTAAGGCAATTTCGGGCATGTTCCCAATTGCAACTACAACTAGCAGTGAGCTCGTTTGAGCTGGACATAATTTGCCCAGCTCCATTCCCTGCCAAGCACCAGGCAACTAAAGCAAGCTAAAACTGAGGAATTGAATTTGAGCTACAGGGAAACCTGCGGTCGGGCACCGACGTTGCTGTGTCCTCTCCAATGGACAACAGGCGCCCTGTCATTCCCGAAAAGCAGGAGGCCACCGAAGCCATGGAGGAGAAGCACGACATGAACAGGTTGGTCAGCATGGTGTCTGCCTTAACAAAAGGGATTAGGGTTTAGGGATTAGGGATTAGGGTTTAGGGATTAGGGTTTAGGGATTAGGGTTTAGGGGCACAGCACTTGCCTCGAAAGATCTTCAACATGCGCTCTGATGCCCCATGCTTGAAGGACCCAATCATGACCCAATGACAGCTGTAGTTTTACCTAGGGTATGTGTATGCTTCGAAGACTTAGGAGAATGACATATAGCTGGGTTTTTAACTACACTTATAATTCATCTGATGCTTACGCACCCTGAGCATCCGGTACAAACACCTGCCAAAGGACACATAGCTCCTGTGAGCCCGGAAGGGCAATGAGAACTACTGGCTTAACCTCGGGGCCTGCAGAAGTTGAATCGGATTTGCACTAGGGCTTAGGGTCTATGGATAGAGTATATACACTCGAGTTGAACAGTCCGCGAGGGAGCCCACAGAAAGGCTACACAAGCCTAGAAAAGTGCCTCATGTCAAGTTTCTAGTAGGTTCCGATTTGATAGGCTTCTCGGGCACAGTATTCTATGGCCGTATGTAAGGATTGTAAAGCACGCAGTCCCTTCCCCTAATAACGAATCCCTCCACCCCTCTCACGACCCTCCCTAATAAAGTACAATAGACACAACCTGAGAGGGTATTCTTGAGGAAGTGCCTGGTTTATGACTAAGGGGCAGGATTATTCAGGCTTCCAGGGTCTCTGACTCGGTAAAGCACTCTCCAACTGTACCTTCATGACTATTTATCGGTGCCTTACAAACCCCAGCGAGGCTCCCGTAAATCATTTTGATCAACACATGGATTTGGGTGCGCAGTGGATGGAGGGGTCTATGTATATATCTATAGGGTTCAGGGTAATTTGGGTTTGGGGCTTTAAAGTCTAAAGTTTAAGGTGTAGGGGCATAAGGAAAATCAAATGGACGAGAACATGGGAAATGAAATACGAACAGGGTTGTATAGGGGTTTATGGGGACAGGTTGTAACGGCCTAAAGAAGTGCTAGAACTCTTCAAAGATCTATTTGAAGCACGTATCTCACAATTATACGCGGAGTGCAGAACCATGACATTGGAATGATTTCAAACGCCCAGGTGGAAGGAATGAAAAGGGTGTGCCACAAGCGCAAATAGGGGTTCTAGTTATCCAAACCCCTCAAATCAAGACATAGGTCGTTATTGTAGGGTTGCGTTGCCTTATAAAGAGAAGCCTACCAGAAGAAACTGCCAAGTGCCCTTTTGGACTCCTAACGCCACAGGACCAGACTACGCAAGGATATGTCGGAAGTTTTAAAAATAGTCCCCATATAATACCGCCCATGATCACGCTAGAATCCCTGTGTATTCCTTGTTGTCCCTAACGATCCCCCAATTTGAGAAACTCCCACAAAGAGTAACCCCGCCTCTGTACGACAAAGGCATGCGTATCATTATGTCAGAAGTAATCGTGGCAGCTTTTTCTGGTAGTATCATACTTCTGATAAATGAAGCCCTAAACCCTAAACCTTAAACTACTCCCCCAGTACTGCCCCCCAAGGTTTCCCAATACTTAGGATCACTTTGGGGAAGTCAAGGCCAATTAAGGGGGAACCTCTGGTGGTAGCGTAAAGGGGATAGTATCTGATGTTGGTAACGTCAAGTTACTAAACCCAAAGCACTAAACCATGTAGGCTCTCATACTATAGCTACATTGAAATCAATAAGGGGAAAAACACTGATGACACTGATACTTTTGCGAGCTTCTACATTACCAATCTGGACCCTAAGCCCTAAATCGCGGGTGTAATTGGATCAAGTGGCCCATGTCAAGCTTTTCTTGCTCGCTTCCTGGCCACTGCTTGGCCCCTCAGCCAGTATCCTTAGGTGTCCGGTACCACCCTAAACCCTACACCTAAACCTACACTTGAGGCTTTGAAAGCCATTGGCTTGGACATTTCCAAAATGAGCCACGGTATAGGGTTTAGGGTTCAGGGTAGCCTTCTGGGCTTCCTGCACCCTACACCCCAAATCCTGAACCCTTACAAAAACTACCCACTGGACCGGCAAGTATCTTTTCCAGGCAGGAACCGTACTTCTCCTTTAGGTACCTCGGCTGCTACATCTGATCAAACGCGTCTCAAAAGAACGACTTGGAGGCCTTTGAAGGGTTCAGGATACGTTGCATTCTTCCCCACATTCATGGCGGGGTTCTAGTTTTTATGGTGCGTTGCCCGGCACCCTCAGCGTGCTTTTCCGTCGCGCAAACATTTTGGACGCGCCTATGTTCGCTTAAAAATCGTGCTCTCGCTCGAGACATCCTCAAATTTTTGAATTTTTCGGACTTTATGAACTATCAAAATTTGCGCTCCCGCGCGAGACAATTCGATTTTTTGATGTGTTGATGATGTTCGTATTTGAAAAAATCGCGCTTTCGCTCGAGACATCCCTGAAATTTTGTCGATTTGTATTCGTCCAGATCGATCAAAATTGAGAGAGATCGCCTTTAAAGTAGTCTTGGTAGGGGGGCCCGCAACCCGTCTGGACGGCGCTCATTTTTTCAAAATCGCACTCCTGCGCGAAACATCCTCAAAATTCCAGATTTTGCATTTCTTAAAATTGCGCTCCCGCGCGAGACAAGTCGGATTTTTTTGAAATTTTGATGATGTTCGTATCTTCAAAAATCGCGCTCCTGCTCGAGACATCCTCGAAATTTCGTCCATTTATCTTTTTGTCGAAATCGATCAAAATTGCGCTCCCGTGCGGAGCATTCGTAAAAAAAATGGATGATCCATCTTCAAAAATCGCGCTCCCGCTCGAGACAGCCTCGAAATTTCGTCGATTTTGTCGTCAAAATCGACCGAAATCGCGCTCACGTGCGGAGCATTCGGAAAATTTTGATCGTTCATGAGCGATGATGTCGAGCGTTTCTATACCGATCCTATACCAAATGGACGTCGTTGGAGGTGACTCGGGGCTCAAGAGAGATGTTCTTGGCGGAGCGTTTTGGTATAGGATTCGTCGGAATCGTCGTTCAAAACTTCATCGTTTAAGGAACGATTTCTATGCCAATTCTAAACCAAACTGCTCCGCTCAAGGTCGCCTTCTGTTGGCGAAACTCGCGCTCCCGTGCGGAGCATCCTTCAAATTTGGGCAAAAATCACGCCCCCATGCGGAGCATCCTGAAAATTTTGAGAAAATCGCGCTCCGGTGCGAAGCATTCTCAAAATTTGGACGAAAATCGCGCTCCCGTGCGGAGCATCCTCAAAACTTTGGAGAAAATCGCGCTCCCGTGCGGAGCATCCTGAACATGTTGAAGAAAATCGCGCTCCCGTGCGGAGCATCCTCAAAATTTGGACAAAAATTGCGCTCCCGTGCGGAGCATCCTGAAAATGTTAAAGAAAATCGCGCTTCTGTGCGGAGCATCCTCGAAATTCGGCCGAGTTTTCTTTACATATGTATGAATATACATACCTACATACATACATACATACATACATTACATACATACATACATACATACATACATACATACATACATATGCGATGGGACTGCCGACTTTGGAATGCCCCCCAAACTTGCTCCAGACCCCCCAAACTTGCTGTCTCGTAGAAGCTAGCGACTTGCGAAAAAGCCTTGAGGTCACTTGTTTGTTGCCCCCAAAACCCCTTCCAGACCCCCCAAACTTGCCCTCTCGCAAGAGTGACGTGGCGACTTGGGGGAGAAAAGCATTCAGGTCACTTATTTGCCGCTCCAGAC